AAGACAGAATAGTGAGGCAGCCCAAATTCCAACATAATTGAAGCATATTCTCGAACCGAAAATCAGATAGGAGAAGAATTTATGAAACATTTACGTTCACAAACTGGACGTACTAAGATCAGATTATGGATTTCTGCAGCAGAGACAATTTCTTGATGGCTGGACAATAAAGCAAGAATAGAAAGGTGATCAGCTCCGTTTTGCCAAAAATCATGGTTTTTTGAAAGGGCATTAATGTTTAGAGTAATACTAGGGATAGTTTAAAATTTCGTCAGTTACAAAGACTACATTGACAATTAGTAAAGCTGTTAGCTAATTAGTTTCTTCTGTCTTTTAGTGAAATGGATGTGTATATATATACATCATTACACCTCATTATCAATAAGATTCTCATTTTATCTTCCTCACATTATTCTCGTGAGTTTTCCTTTTCAGTCTTTCCCTGCATCTTCTTCACCTCTCTGCTTCAGCAGATTCTACATGGTATCAGAGCATTAAAAGCTTCCTTTCATGGCTAATAATCGGCAGCATCAAATTGAAGGCGAAGATCCAGCCATTGCTGTTCATCGAGTAATGTCAGATCCTTCAAGTCCGTACTATATGCATTACGGAGACAATACGGGGATGCAAATTGTATCTGTTACCTTATCTGATGAGAATTATTCAACATGGAGTCGTGCGGTAGAGATGGCACTGAGTGTGAAGAATAAAGAGAGTTTTATCGATGGATCCATATGTGAACCTCCTGCTGGTTCACCTCTTCATGCTGCTTGGCGTAGGTGCAATCACATAGTCTCATCATGGATCATAAATTCGATTCCTAAGGAATTGTATCCTAGCGTTATGCACAAGGAATCAGCACGCCAGATCTGGTTGGAATTGAAGGATAGATATAGTCAGGGCAATGGAGCAAGGATCTACCAGCTGAAGAAGATGATTGTTTCAATTTCACAAGGAAATGGTTCGGTGGGTGCCTATTTCAACAAACTGAAAGGTCTATGGGAAGAATTGTCAAACTACAGACCTCAAGATCACAATTCATATTATGAAGAAGAGCAGATCTTGCAATTTCTGATGGGATTAGATGATTGTTATTCCAATGTGCGTAGTCAGATCTTGATGATGGATCCATTACCATCACTTAACAAGGTCTTCGCACTCGTTCAGCAGGATGAAAAACAGAAAGATGTGGCATCCAAAAACCAGAACAATGCTGAGGCAGCTGCTTTTGTTAGTAAAATGATAGCTGGACACTCAATGAACTTAGGCAGTGGACAAAGGCAAGCTTATCAGAACCAGAATTTCAGACGTGAAAGGCCTAAGTGCAGCTATTGTGGAATGCTTGGACATGTGCAAGGAAAATGTTACAAATTGCACGGATATCCCCCAGGACACAGATTGGCTAAGAACAAAGGCTTCACTCCAAGTGCAAATCGAGTGAATTCTTGTGTGAATCAGGTGCCTGATTCATCAGACTTATCAAATGCCATCTCAAATCTGACCATCATGCCAGAACAATGTCAGCAAGTTTTGAACATATTGAAGCCACAACTCCAGAATCAATTTTCGAATATGTCTGTTCAATCACCACAGGTGCCAAGTTTACCAGATCCTTCACCTTTTTCAGGTAATAAGCTTTGCTTAAGTGTCTCAGACATAGAAGAGAAATGGATAATTGATACCGGAGCCACAGATCACATGGTGTGCTCCACTAAATATCTATCTTCCATTACTGCTGTGGCTAACACCAGTGTGAGGTTACCTAATGGGGACAGTGCTCTTGTGACTCACATAGGAACTATGAAATTATCCAATATCCTATCGTTATCAAATGTCTTGTGTATTCCCTCTTTCAAATGTAATCTAATATCTGCCAGCAGGCTCATAAAATCTCATCATTGTTGTCTAATCTTTCTTTCCGACTATTGCTTCATTCAGGACCTCTATACATGGAAAATGATTGGAGTGGGGAAGCTTGAAGATGGCTTATACCACTTCCAGCATAAAAGTCCTTCAGAAAACAACATCTCATCTTGTTCTGCCAATTCTTCAGCTTATTTGAATCGTTCCCTGAATGTACATAGTGACTGTAATAAACTAGTGAATAACACTGCTAGATTACCTATTGATTTGTGGCATTTTAGACTGGGCCATGTCCCTCATTCTAGAATTTCTTGTCTACAAAAATCTGTACCTGAGATTATCTCAGATTCTGAATTTCATTGTACTGTTTGTCCTTTATCAAAACAACATCGTTTGTCATTTTCTAACAGATCTCACGCCTCTAAATCTGCCTTTGACCTCATTCATTGCGATATCTGGGGTCCATATCAGACTCATTCACTTGATGGTTCCAGGTTCTTTGTCACTATAGTGGATGACTATAGCAGGAGCACTTGGACATTCTTGATGCAAAATAAATCACAAACTAGGCATATTCTTCAAACATTCTTTCATATGGTTGAAAATCAGTTCAATACCAAAATCAAAATTCTGAGGTCTGATAATGGAGCTGAATTTGCCATGCCAGACTTCTATTCTTCCAAAGGTGTAGTGCATCAGTTAAGTTGTGTTGAAAGACCACAACAAAATGGAGTCGTTGAACGAAAGCATCAACATTTGTTAAATGTAGCCAGAGCACTCAAATTCCAAGCAAATCTTCCTAATCATTTTTGGGGGGACTGTATACTCACAGCAACATACTTGATTAATCGAATTCCTAGCCCAATTCTGTCAGAAAAATCACCATATGAAATCCTATTTTCAACAAAGCCTTCATATTCACATCTAAGAGTATTTGGATCACTATGCTATGCCTCTACTCTACACAGAAATAGATCAAAATTCGACCCTCGTGCAGTGCCCTGCCTTTTCATTGGTTATCCTTTTCATCAAAAGGCCTACAAATTGTATAATCTCATTACCAATACTACTTTTGTCTCTAGGGATGTTGTTTTTCATGAAACCATATTTC